CAAATTCGATCGTAAAAATGCAGCGGGGGTTTGGGGATTCTCGATCGAGAGGCGATTTCCCGCCAGAAGTCGGGAGCAATGACGAGAGAGATACGTGATGGCGTGCCATGTTAAATGCAGCTTTTACGATATTGCATGCAATTCGATCGATGTTACCCGGACTCTCGAGAGATTTCTTTAGAATTTTAATATATAAGAATTTATAGCGCACATCTATTTAATTTATCCTAGTTCTTTGAACTAAACTGCAGTAGTATTTACTACGTAAACCATATTTTTTCAAGATTTTTCTACTCTGATTCTGCTTTTTCCATTTTTACAATACTTTTACTATTAATAATTATGACAGTAAGATTCAATTTTTCGCACATATTTGGAAGCTTAAAGAATTAATGCACTCTGTTAAAATAAATCCGGAAATGGTTATAAAAAATTGCGCAAAGCTCTGAGAAAACTGAAAGAAGCGGCAACGAAAAAATGACAGAGTAACAATAACAAGCAGAAGCAAGAGACGAGTAGAGACCGAATTGTGCCGCTCGGCGATAAAAGCTGTCGCGTTTAGCATTGCGGTACGTATCTGCCTTTACCGGGAGAAAATTCGTGAGAGAAAAGCGAAAAAGCGATGACGGATGGAGAGCGAGAGATTGGGTTCGCGAGATAAAGAAGGTCGACAATAATGCCCTCGGTGCACCCTCGATCCCAATAGTAGCGGACGCAGCAGGCAGTCCCATTATATTGTTTTACCTCAACCGGAGATCAGGGAATGCGCCGCGGAAAGCTGAAATATATATATGCTTTCGATTAGCAAACGAGAAAACCAGCGGAGGACTCGAACTCGCGAGTGATAATAAAAGTGCATTAATTCGTGACGTAGAGATTGAATGCGCGAAATGCTATCAAATCCTTCCCTAACGTTAGTTTCGTTCGGTTCTTTGCGATTTAGTCTGAAAATAGAGAATGGAGCTTTTAGGTCTCGGACTAAGAGACTAAGCAAAGACAGAAGATTGATTAATCGACGATAGTGATATTAACAAAAGTGTCTAATTTAATATATCTAAATAAGTACGCAAGATTTTAGATGATTCTTTGTCGAAAATTAAAGAAGGTTTCTTATATAAACATATATTTTTATATCCCTTCTAATTTCATTTTTTTAATTTGTCTGAAATTCGAGAAAAAAAACTTAATTTTACCTTCCTTTTTAAAAAGATGTAACTTCTCAGGGAGGAATATAAGAGTATATATTTATATAAGAAACCGCCCTTAATTTTCAACAAAAAATCCAAAATTTTTCCTGCGTATACGCCATGATCGAGTTCTTCCTATTTTGCATAAATTTTAATTACATATCCCTGAAAAATAATTTAGCATACAAATTGAGGATTGCGAGTGCGAAAATAGCGACGTCATATTATAAGCGGCAAAAGAATACGTGAATAACTCGCGTTGTAGGCGCACATATATATCAGCGATATTGAAATCGTAGAAATGTGTTTGAGATCCTGCGCGTTTCCTCCGCAGTGACGGCCGTTCGGGATCCGAAGGTGAAAAAACAATGCTGCAACGAACCCCTTTCGTTTCGATCACGATGGAACCTCTTCTCCTATCTCTCTCTCTCTTTGTTTTCCCGGTCTCCTATCTTTTTTCGATCCTCTTTTTTTTTCCTCTTTCTCTGTTTCCTCCACCCTCGCTATTCCGTTCTCGTCACTCTCTAGTGAAATTCTTCCACATGTCTCTACGTCTCGTCTCGCACAACCCGGTACAATGCAACCCCGGGATGCATTGTAGATCAGTCTCACCAGACAACCCCGTGACGTCAACGACACGGGGACAATTATACGATGATATACATATAACCGGTTGTATTTCGGAAGATGCTTTTTCTACGTAATGTTTTGAGATATAACAGTTCATTCGATGACATCGAGAGTTATACGGTAAATTTTTATGTAAATATATTTCGATGCTTTGCAAAAAAGTGCGAACACGTCATGTTGAATTTTATCTTAATTAAATCCAATTATAATTAATTTTTTTGAAAAACTTGCACGAATGAAACAGAGAATTCTGTCGTCGTAATGTAATAGTTTTTCTAACTATTGGAAATTAAATAATGCGTTTGAAAAAAAAGTTTGCAAAAAAGAGCGACAGAATTATCTTCAAGGCAACTATACAGTTTTTTGCTATTATAATCGTTCTAAGGGAAATTTGTTCTACTGATCTATTTTCCGTAACTCTCTCGCGTTAAGGGGGAAATGAAAGTATCGGTGTTCTTTGCGATCGACGACAAAAGTATAAAAATATAAAAAAAGGGGAAAGTACATTTGTGTGTATCTTTGCCGAGCTTTTTATCGCAAACTCTTTATAGAAAGCACGAAGAAAGTGCGATAAACGCGACGTCCTCATCCCTTCTCGACACAAAGGTATCGACGTTATCGAGAGAACCGTGAGAACCGCTGAGGACTTAAATAACTCCCTTTGAGAAGCACATGTACGTAAGAGAATGCTTAGAAGGATGCGAGGACGAAGGCTTGATTTCTCAATATCCATTGCTACCCATAATTAAATTCATTTTTCGATATTAGTGATATGTCAAAAATATCTATACACAATTTATTATTTATTTCACATGCTCATCTTTATCGAAATTAGATATTCGTTTAAGCATTTAGACTTACCTTATCTAGGATCGTTCTACCATTTCAAAATTGGTAATTATCATAAAAAAATTGATCACGTTCAAAATAGAGAATGGGGTACAGTTTAAAGGAGAAAAACAGAATCGTTTACACGGCAACAAATTTTCCAAACAAAAAATAAGTTTCCTGAAAGTCTGAATCTCGCATAGAGTTGAAGAATATTAAGATTTGCGTTATGCCAGATCGAAAAATCTCCCTCCTTATCGAGGGGAGACGATGCCTGCAGCTCGCGCGATGATTGCGCCGTAATCTGCTTTCGCTTTGCTTTTCCGAGGAACAGGGGGGGGGATGGGGGGGGGAGGTAGAAGGGTGGTTGTTGCATGATTGGCCGGGGGGGTCTTCCGTTTCGACCGATACATCGACAACAGTCGAGATACTTAGGGAGGATACGCGCGGACGAGATAGACGCTCTGGGAGAGAAAGAGAGAGAGAGAGAGAGAGATTTCGACGAGGATGGGCGGATGAAACAACCCTTCTGACACGGGTTATCCTATAAACGGTGCCACCCCCGCAGCAACGTATCGATAATCCGGCCCGCGGGGCCCACATGCGGTTGAACGCTCGCAACAGTTACCATATTTGATTGTATATATCTCCTTCCCATCCCCTTTAACGAGAGAGGAATAATACAAAATATATATATATATATATATATATATGTATATATGCGCCGCATCGCAAAAATCTTGTGAAAATACCTGTTATTTTTATTGCGAGAGAAATTTTATGTAATATTATTAATATTTGTAATAATTCGTAAAAGAGATTATTTTCCCCCAAATCGTGATGTTAATATAATGATAATAATAAGTATAATATAACGATATTTTTGTAGTCGAGCAAAATATGTTATAACAAAATATGTTATGGAGATTCATATATAATATGCGCTTATTTATACCAAAAGTTTAATGCCGCAATTTCTAATTTATTTCTTCAAAACAATTTTGATGTCGTATATTAAATTGTTCAATATTTATTGGCCAAATTATTATTATTTTTATTCAATGTTTTTTTGTCACTATATCATTTTGAAAATGAGACAGATTTGATTTATTTTAACAATGTTTAAGTTTGGTTCAAAGATCTTGCTGAAGGAACAAAATGTATCACAATCATGCAATTAATATTACGAGAAAATCTGAGACGTTGCGAAAATATCATTAACACGTCGCTTCATCGAACTTCGTCAAGCGACGCATTTTTTTTATATTGTTGCGGGAGTAAACAGTATATTAAATTGTTCAATATTTATTGGCCAAATTATTATTATTTTTATTTTGTATAAATATTTTATTTTGTCACTATATCATTTTGAAAATGAGACAGATTTGATTTATTTTAACAATGTTTAAGTTTGGTTCGAAGATCTTGCTGAAGGAACAAAATGTATCACAATCATGCAATTAATATTACGAGAAAATCTGAGACGTTGCAAAAATATCATTAACACGTCGCTTCATCGAACTTCGTCAAGCGACGCATTTTTTTTTTATATTATCGCGGGAGTAAACAGTCGCGAATTTCTCTCCGCGATAAGACTCGCGGGATGCCACATAAAAAATTAAAAGGGCTGTTTTCCGTTGCGTGTCTGACGCACCCCCGGTGTCGAGACGGTGGCGACGGAAAAACGCGGAGAAAGAAATCGCACGCGTTTGATGTAGCCGGCAAAGGGAACGACGGGTGATGGGGGAGAAAAGGGGAATACGATGTCGGAGGTGGAGTAGTTTCGCGTGGGTTGGTCGGTCGACTGCAACCACGTTTCTGCGCAACCCCACAGCCTCCTCTGTTTCTCTCTTTCTCTCGTGGCTCGCCTCGCGTTTTCTCTGTCCCTCTATACGCTCGCGAAGAGACCGGGCTTAAACGTTACCGGAAAATTATTACCGGAAAAGCGTTGCGCACACACGCGTGCGGCAAACCGCGGGACCCACCGACGGAATTACATTGATATTAGTATCGTTTGGTCCGACAGATTAATTAATTAAAACGCTCCCGTCGGCCGCCTGTGGCCACCACGCCGCACGCGTATTTGCGTTTCACGCTGACGCTTTAACGCAGTAAACACCGAAATACCGGGCGCCAACAATTGTCGAAGGCTCTCGTCGTATGGGAGATCTTTTCCTACAATGGTCTCTAAAAGTACGGAATGCTTTTATAGCGAACCGTAATAATGCTTATTAGGGTTTTTGACTCTCGTTTCTTCCTAACAGAGTCATTGAACGATCGAGAAAAAGAGAGAGAGAGAGAGTCTGTGTTTATTAAAACAAAAGGCCCCCGAATTATGAAGATGCGTGGACTTACCTTTCTTCGCGTGCAATATGTCCGCTGGATCTGGTGGCAGAGATGAACAATGGCTCGGACTCAAACTAGATTGTATCGAGGAAAAAGGGCTTCCCGCACTCGATGGATACCTGAAAAAAAAAACATAATTTGTTCTTAGCAATATAAAGTCTTCTCAGTGTCTTAATCCTACATAATATATAATTTACTTACTGTACATTTTTGTTATTTACTACCTTTTTTTAGAATTAAATTAAATTAAAAACACTAAAAAACATTTCTTAACTTGAAAAAGAAAAAAAAGTTTTTTTTATTGTGTCACAATTTCACAATATAAATATGCTATGACATATGACGTGTTGAAAGAGAATATAAAAAGCCTATAAGAAATGATTATCTCTCCAGTTTGAATTGTACGTCACGCAATATATATTCCGCACAATGCTGTTACACCAAGTACTGAGGGTATTTGAATTTTAGTTTTACCAGGGATTGGGACGTGGCCAGCCGGTGGTCTGTCCGTTTAATAGCCTGAGTTTATCGTAAACACTCTCCGCCGGACTGCCGGCACCGACGCCAACCCCCACAGCGCCCACCCCTTGCTGTTGCTGTTGCTGCTGCCTCTGCTCCTTCTGCGCGGCTAGATTTCTCAGTACCCTGTTGATCGAGGACACCTGGAACCCGAATATATTTACCGATGTATAAAACAGGTTAACTATACGCCCCGGCTTAATTAAATGAACGTATAGCCGATATACTCTGGCGAGCTTAACTAACTCATTCGTGTATCGTGGATTTTGCGATGTTTCTTGCGAAAAGGGGGCGCGCACGGAGCAATTTTCATATTGCGTCAATGAATATGCAAAGAAATCAAAACAAATTAAGATCTTGCGTCTATTATTAATTGCGTATGGTCGAATTACCAAGTGACACCACTATGTAGAAAATGAAGATAAAAGCTTTCAATTAAATTCAATCGATCTAAAATTTTTACTGACTTCCTTAGATGAAATTTGATTGATTTTCTCTTGATTAGCATCTCTTTTGGTTCAGCTAAATTACTTTCTCATCCCAAAGTTTTAAATGGCAAGAAAATTTCGCAAAAAAAGAATGTCTAGAGGGTTATCGATATCTTTTCTCTCTCGTTGCGATATCAGATTTATCATAAACACGAAATGTGCGGAGAATATGATGAAGATTCTCTCCCTGGAAGCTTCTGCCCGATGAAATGCGACGAGAGCGGTAATTAAAACGATGCGGTGAGCGGCTGCCGACGCGGCACGAGGGAGTTAATTACCTCCGCCTTCAATTATATCCGTCTCCGCGCCACTCCAAGGGGACTTGGCTTCTGCCGACGTAAGTACGCACTCGCGCATTCGCGACGCGCGAGTTTACGTTCCCTACGCGCGCCGTATTTCGCATGCATATACCGGAACTCGCGATCGCTCTTAAGTGCGATAACGCCCACAGTCTATCATGTTCGATACTCCTACGATATGAGAATTTCCGCAGGAAATTTCCGGGAGAACAAATTTCACGTTACACATATATCGCGAGTAAAGATACTGCGAAAATGACAGCATTGTGTCTTATTATTTGCGCTCTAGTACCCTTGACTGAACGTTCAAAATAAAAATGTATACACTCACGGATTTTGTGAGAGATTTTTAATTTTAATTTTTTTTTTATATAGATATATCATTTTGAATTGAATTTCTCTACTTGCGTAGAATAAAATTACTTCATTTTTTTTATTTATTGCACAATACATGCGGGTAATCCAACTATTTTGTGCGTGTATATACGATTACGAGAATTACGAACGATGAAATATCTATGGGGGCGAAAAATTTACGATGTCCTTTAAGTCGGAGTTGCTCTTTTTATTTTCGTATCTTTTATTTGTCTTCTTCTGCAGACTGCCTTCGTCGCTTCTGTCACTTACAGCTCGTATAAATCCCGACAAAGTCGTAAAAGAATTTTCACGAAACTAAGCGGTACGTCCTCCTGCTGCCGATAGTTTTGCAATTTATTCCCTTGCATTCTTGTATTACGCTACGCACGTCGTGGCAATCGATGCTGTATTTAGAGCGTAGTAAAATGTCAAACTTTTCAATTTGAACCATTTTCGCGTTGTTAAAAGTATCGAGATTTAATGGATTTACAAAACTTCTTTCGATAGAAAATTTATTTAACGGGAATAATATTTGTATCTTAAAAATAACAAATTGTTATACATGCTCTAATTTAAATCACTGATTTCTGACATTTTTATTAAAGCAAAACGAATAAATCTCATTTTCCAAATTTAGATACAATTGATAAAGATTTGACTCTTTTACTGTAAAAAATTCTAGATTTCGAGATACATTTTGAAAGATTTTTTAGTTCTTGAATAAATATTTTTTACGTTTCAATAAATTAAATATTTTTTTAAATTAAAATTTTTTTGAAAGTTTTAAGAGAAAGGAATAACTTCTCAAAAAATTCATTAAAAAGTATTATCAATTCCAGTTGTATAAGAAAATTATTAAAAATTTTCATACAACAAAAACGTAAAATTGATGAATCCTATATTTGGATTCCTGTTTTTCACACTTAATAAAATCTTTGAAAGATATCAAGAATTGTTTAATAAAATTCTTAAATAAAAACGAAACTATCAATAAAAAAAAAATAAAATTCCACAGAAAAATAAATCAGTTATTAACCTATTATCAAAACTAAGGTATGAGTTTATAAAAAAATCCCGTCTAAAGAAATTTGTTTACAATTATCCATTGCATCTCGATTATGTTTTATTGCAGGCGTCGGATTGGACGAAGAGAAAGGCGGAGGCCGGTGACAGAACACCGGATCGGTCATAGGAGATATTCGTTCCCTGGGGTTTGTTAGACCCGGTGTCAGGGTTCCACGGCATTGAAACGAGCTGACATCTCGGACCCACCACCGGAGCCAGAGCGTCATCCCCCTCGGCGCCCACGACGGCCACCATCACCACCACAACCGCACGATCTCGTCGTGTCTCTCCGTCGCTGACGCGAAAGAGACGTCACCGGCACTCTCCCCTCGTCTTGTCTCCGACATCCACGTCCGATGTCCAAAACATCCTGTCTCCTCGATCCTCCGAACATTCAAATTACCTTCCGTCAGCAAATTAACAATCTCCGATCTAAGAGAGGATTCGATCAGATGATCGGTAGATGACGAACCGAGGAGCGAAAACAAAGAGATTATGTGATAATATATGCTTTCGATCTGAAATTATTGGCAACTATATTTATTGATAAACGCGATAAATATTTGAGAAAACATCACGTAAAATGGGAAATAAAATGTTTAATTTTTTTCATTTTCCGCTGGTATTTTAATTTTGATGATACGCGTATGATATCTTTACTATGCGTTCTTATCGGAGCGTGAAAAAATTCATTGGGCAATTTTTTGCGATTAGGTTTCGGAAGTTGGGTCTTCGATGATTCCGAGCCGCGCTTGCAAAGTTCGTCGATGTTAAAATCGATCCACAATGAAAAGTCGTTGTCGCACAAAGAAAGCACTTGGCGACAAAGCCGCAGAAACCCAACGAGCGACGGCTGCCTGTCAAGGGACAATCACGTGACATCGAGTGTCCGGACTGTTTGACCGTTTTTTGATTGACGTCAACCGCAAATATCGTGCTTCTCAACCGTTGCGATATATTTATACGACGTATGTCACCCCCGTTATTATATTCGTAGAGATCGTTGCGCATTGTGGAAATCGATACCACAATGGACCCGTTTTTGTGGTAAGCCAGGCAGGCACTCGCGAAACTTCGAGACACTTCCTTCTTGGAGCGATCTCGAAGATCTAGAAAGGTTCTTCTAAACGTATAATGCAAACTACCCTACTTCGAAATTAAATTTTAATGACAGATTGTTAGTTTTTCGAGCTGACTTTTTTTATAAGAGCGGACTGTTGGTTTCGTCTCAAAGAATATATATAATAAAAATAAATGTATTGCCCTTTAAGAGTTATATTTATTAGCGGAAATGAATTCACTGTGTAATTATCTAAACACTGGCATTAAGATGGGATGGATAATGGAAGACGCGCGGACGAGGACTCGTGTGCTTTATTGGCTCATCGCTGACAATGGGATTCTCGACACATTTTTGCACGGTAGAGCCGAGCGATGTGATACGCGAATAGTGTATAAAAGGAACGTAGATATTATCCTTCATCCTCGTGCGCACAAAGGCGGACACGCGGCGAGGGCTTAAAACGCGACGCGAGAGGAAGAAGCCGGCTTGGATCGATGAAATTAGCATGAAGCGTGAAAAGCTCGAGGGTGGCCGATCTCTTAAAGAGGGTGCTGGATAGAGACGTCATAATATTGCTCTCACGTGACATCACCGCGATAGTTGTCCGACGGGAAATCTCTTTTACCGCGAAAATCAGCACGATTTTGAGAGGAAATCGCGTTTTAACGATCTATAAAAGACTCGGAAATAGTCTTGTACAACTGCATCTATTATACATCATATTAATATCTGTTTCTATTTTAAATACGTGACTCTTTATATGAACGCAAATTTAGTAAAAAGATTTCATTATGATATGTCAGTCTTCTGTCAAAATAAATCTCTTTTTTTTTTAATCCGGAAAAATGATCAATTTTGTTGATCATGTTACTTGTATGTTGCGTAAAATTGGATTTTCGTAATGTTGAACGCGCGGGCAGAAAGAGAGGATTTTTAATCACTATAATATATCACCATAAGATATATACGGATGCGCAGCCTACACGCGTAATAGTGCGTGTATTATCTTTTAACGCGTCGGGTCTCTGCGTCGAGAGAAAGAGAGTGGCGGCTGCAATTTTTACGAGTGCTTATTCGCGGTAGTCGCGTATTTCCTGCCACGGCTCGTTCATATGTATATGTATGAGACGAGGGTGTTAACCGTGAAGAGAGCGGAAGGAGAGAACACGAGGGTGCCACGACTTTCTCTTTTCCTCTCCATTCAGACTACTTCCGTTATCCTGGGGGTCCGAATGAGCCCGCCATACAGCACGGCTTTATTATCGCGAAAACATCCTGGAAATAATAGCCGGGCGATTCGACACGCGTAATCAGCAGCACTTCATAAAACTTATTCAAAAGTCAGGGAGCACACTTAGAAGAGACACAAAAGCAGTTTGTAAATGCGTCAGTGTTAAATACCCAAGGAGGGATACAAATCTTTCATTTCATTCTGTATAACAAGGAAGAGTGAATGTGAAAAATAATAAAATGTAATATTGTATATAATTTAGTTAGAATTTTTACTTGTATTAAAAGTTAACGATGACAAAGGATACGATCAAAAATTTTATTATTTCTCACGTCATTATCTTCAAAGATAGAAGAGCTTCTTGACGAGAAATATAATTTTCCGTATGATTCTTTGTATATAATACAAATTAATCATATATTCTCTTCGCGTATTTTCAAATACCGGCACGATGTAATTTTACAGAGAGGAGTATCGTGATGAACCCAAGCCGTGATAATCGGATTTTAACGAGAATGGAGACGGGCAGCGTTATGAAATCTATGATCTCTCCATTGACACGGCGCGTTAATCGGGACTTACATTATTCGCATATTATATCTCCGCGTTTCCCGCGCGTGTTTGGAGTGGGAAGCTTTGG